ATAATATGARTTATCTTTGTAAATAAAATGAAGGTTTTGGTTGCTGATGCAAATACCAATACCAAGGACTCCAAATGACTTGAAWGAACTTTGATTCAGTTCCATTAAAWGTTGTCATGAATAATTTTCAGCACTCRGGTTCTGCAAAGTGAATTTTCATTCTGGTTGTGTTTTATGTTATGAATAATCTTGGGATTTCTTTTTCATAGGACTGTTATGTGCTCAAGAAGATTTGAGTGTTGTACTTATGTAGCTCTRATGACTGTGACCATTTCTGCTCAGGTTAAAGGAATTAGGTTTCTGAGGCAGTAAATAYTGCTATTAAAGGCAGTCATTCATCCGTTTGCAGGCTGTCAGGTGGCACAACAGATAACTTGCTATTGCCTTTTCTGTGTTAGGACAATGAGCAAATGTTTATTGCTGCCCATGTTTATTCCTTCCAGTGCTGCTTTGTTAATCCCTGTTCCCTCTGTCCACTGTCCTTGTCATGAATAGAGCGATGCACTTCACCTGTGAGAGAAGCAGCAGGAAACCATGTAAACACAAAGCAGTGAGTTAACAACTTAAAACAGTAAATGTGACAACACCTTAACAAGATTTGATGGCAAGAAGCACTTGACTGTTCACTACCTGAAGGACAAGGTCAGAAAAAGCTGTCAGGGAGACCCTCCTGAGGTTMAGGGAGGACTCCCTTGCTCTCCAAACCCCTCACACTGCAGCTGGATCCAGTGCCAGATCAGGCTTGATCCGTGGTGTGTGTCCAAAGGAGTTTATGTTTACAATCCTTTGTGTCCCTCAGCTAAGATTTCAAAGGTTAGCCTGCCATTGATCTCCTCCCRAGGATCTGCTGTGGTGAGGAACCTTTCAGGCTCCAGGGGTGACCTTGAGAGCTGTCCCCACTCAGGGGGAGCTCCTGGAGTGCAGCACATCCCCAGGAGGGCTGGGAGGGCCTGGGCTGCCCASTGTTAATAATGAACGATTGACTGAACGATTGGTGATATTTGCATAGTGCCAAGACGTCTGGGTCACYGCTCCAGACAGCCCCTGGCTGTCCCCAAGCCATCTGTCCCCAGAGTCCCCAGGAAGCTGCTTGGGGCAGTGCAGCACACAAACTGCTCATCAAACAGAAAGGGAAAATTTAGGGGAACTGCGATGATACTCCAGGATATGGCTGTGCTGTCCTGGACATTGTGTTCTTGGTCAAATTGGTGTGGCTCTCTGCTTGCAAATGCTGTGCATTTCCACTCAATCACACCCTTTTGTACTTCCACCAAAGAAATCCACCCGAATTTTGTGCTTTGAAGCACTTCTAATGGCTCTGCAGAGACAATCGTGCATGATCATGTTCAAAGGAACATTATTATTATTTTGAAAGGAATATCTGTGTGAGAAAAATAACGAATTCCCGTTGAACTAAAAACTCTTGCAGGAATTGGAAAGAAATCTTACAAAATTTAATTGTGAAGTTGAGTCCTGAAATATACTCCAATAAATATTATTTAGTGTATTTCAAGAGATGGTACTGAGAATTTTGGACAAATTGTAACTTTCTGAACCTTATTTTGTAATAGAATGTCTGTGCTGGTTTGCATGGCTCTGAGTGCCATGGCAAGTAGCATAAATTGAGGAATCTAGCCCCTGCAAATAAGTTCAAGTGATTTTTAGTTGTAGACAAAAAAAAAAAAATTAATTCAGTAATTTCTTTATCAGCATTCCAGTAAGTACTAGAAATAATTCAATTTTCAAACTAAATCTATGGAAATGAACAAAGCTCATAAAATGAAGAAATATTATTGATATTTAAAGTGAATTTCTTTAACTATTCTAAGGGCAAGCAAGATAAAATGTCTGAGTGAATTTAATCTTTGATTTATCGAGGCAAATAAAATTAGGATTCTTTACATTATGATGTTAATACAGCCAAAATTTAAATAGTTATCTTAAGCATTTATTATGACTGCTGTATCTGTTMGATAAAAGCCATTAATTTTAAGTGCCAACAATATGAGATAGGAAAGAGTGGATACTTCTGGCTAAGGAAAAGAACATCCCAAAACTCACTTAATCACTTGTAATGTGTAGAACAAAGTGCAAATTAAATTTTGATCTGACAATTACAACAATCTCCATTTTYCTTCACCAGTACTATGTACATGGTATTGATCCCTCTTGAAACCTGAGGAAATAGAAGCTGAAGGARCTGTGGAGTGGCTGAGTTAACTGGGGTTGTTTAGACTGGAGAAAAGGAGGCTTGGGGGGACCTCAAACTTCCTGAAAGGAGGTGGTAGTCAGGTAAGAATCTGTCTTTTCCCTCAGGTAAAGACCAACAGGGCGTGAGGAAACAGCCTCAAGTTTTGCCAGTGAAGGTTTAGACTGGATTTTAGGAAAAATCTTCATTGAACAGGTGCTCAAGCRTTGGCACTGGCTGCCCAGGGCAGTGATGGAATCACCATCCCTGGAAGTGTTCAAAAAAYGCAGATGGTGGACCTGGCAGTGTTGAAATAATGGTTGGGTTCAGGGATCTTAGAGTCTTTTCCAGCCTTAGTGATGATATGATTCTGTGATCTTTAAAGTAAATCCACTGTCCTCTTGGCAGAGTGATAGCAGGACACATTTTATCCCAAGTACTGCATTCAATTGAAATTGTGTTTTTAGTATGCTTAGTTTGCTTTGTTTTGATATTTACCAATACAGTTCGCAGGTCCTCTTTCTCCAGAAGTTTTTAGGATTTATATATTTTTGTTTTTAATGCTAAGCCCTGTCTTAATGAAAGGATTGGAATTAAACTGAATTCCCATGTAAACCAGAATTTCAAAATCCACCCTCCTTAGACACATCTCAGGTGTTTCTTTTATACAATTTACACCACAGAGTAGCTCACAACTGCAATAAATTCAGCTGGGAAGGCCTCTGGGTAGGACAGCTGYCCTGCCTTTTGGTTTTAACTGTGCATTTAGACATATTTTGGCCACACACACACAAYTGGAAATAAGAATGTGCCTGAATTGCATGAGCTTTAGTCATAGGCTGGGCATGAATATGCATCACAGTGTGGAGACTCGTGATCCTCTCTGAGGAGCAGCCACACACTTTTTGTGATCCCAAACGATCATTTCCTATCATGTTGTCTCTTGTATCAGGTGTCTGATAATGCCAWTGTCATGTGAGTGGCAAAGGTAAAACAGAATAAGAAAATATCCACAGCTTCTTTTTTTTTTTTTTYTCTCCTTTTTACTACTGTGTTTTGGTCCCAGGTCAAATCAATGAAAACAATATAATAATAAGCTATCTTTTTAAGCTTTCTAGTGAATTGTTATCTCATAAGCTCCGTTTTGTTTGGCTTTTACCAGCAGTGTCCTTTTCAATGGCTGTGGCTTCTAAACATGTGGCAGTGCAAATGTATCACGTTAATGTTCTTCTGCCACTAGCAATGAGTGTTAATTAGAGCTGGATCTGGCTTAGTCTCTCCTAGGATTATTTAGGATAGGAAGAGCTCTGCTGAATGGCTATTTGTACAATCCATCTATTAATTCACTCTCTGAGGCAGAAGACTATTCAGAGTTAAGGTTTTTAATTGTTCCAGAGTGCATTCGACTTCTTAGCTTCAAAAATAATCCCTTAATTAAGCAAAAAGTTTTTTCCCCAGAATAGTTGTCCACACTTAATAAATAGAAATAATGGTTTTTAATTATGGTCAGTGTGTTTTTTATCTGATGGCTTTGTCAATAGCTGTATTTTATTTTTTGGTATTTTAACATAATTTGATGGGAACAGCATATATTGTGTAAAGTGTAATGGGTGAAATAATGGGCAAACACAAATTTTGCTCTGTCAAATTGTACGTTAGAGTTCTTTTTGACACTTGGCTAATTTCAGTAGCACTTTGCATTCTCTCTGCTTTTTATAAAGAATGAAACACAGCAGCCTGACCCTTTCTAACCAATATGGAATGGTGAATAGGTGAATTTGTGTGCATGGCATTCCCAGGTGACAGGCAATTTTGTGAGTACCAAAGAATGGAGTAAGTAAAGCTCCCAAAGTCTCCATTGGGACTGGATTTTACCCACATGACATTTTTAAAATTTTTTCTAAAGGAAGTGGCTGGACTGTAAATGTGTGCTGGCATAACTTATCTAGTTGAATCAATCCTATGAGACCTGAAGGTAAATTTATTAGATCATTGGGACAGGACACTACTTATTCTGCAGGCTTTTAAAATGGTCCTTGATTAGACTACCTTGCAGGACTGTAATGAAAGTAAAGTGATTAACTTTTTTTTTTTTTTAAGTTTTAGGCTAAACAACATTGAAGGTAGATGTTTTGTTTCTAATGTCTAATATAATATTTTTTGTTATAGAAAAAGGAAATCTGTTATTCACGTGCATCTTTTCCTCAGCCAACAAGTTTCAGTTAAAAGGCAGATCATGTTTAGATCTGTGTTGGTTTTTTTTTTTTTTTWATTTCCTCACCTAATTAATGAAAGCTCTTGCCCCGTTCCTTTTGACTTAAAACCTGTGCTATGGTACAACTGATTTGTAACCCTGTCAATTTTTAAGTATAAGGAAATGGTTTATATCACACCTTTTTTTGGTTAAAAGACTCAAATTTGAAAGAGAAAATCAACTAAATTTTGATTTGTAAGCAGTAAATCTAGGCAGCTCCTGGAGTCTGAATATTGAAATAGTTGTAGATTGCTGTAAAGTGCACCAGTTCTGATGTTCAGATACAGAAAATTTGTGTTGTCATGTTTGAAATACATTGCTCTTTAAGAATTCCATACAAAGTTCTCCTCTGCAGTTTGTTTATTTGTTCTAGAACCTCCCACCCTCATTGTTTCCCCCCGTCTGTCACAGTCCTGACTTTGCCAGTGTCAAAACTCTTCATTCCAGGGCACTGTGCAGAAGCAGGGACGCGACTGTGGCACAGAATTTCAGATATGCTCTCTTTAATGCGAGTTTAACCTAATGCCGTTCAGAGCTCAGGCCATTTCAGTGGCCTTGTTAAATGGAACTTTCCTTCAGAGGGTCCGATTTCTTCCTCCACTCCTTGCACTTGCGCAGGAAGGTGCTTGGCATCCTGGTTCTGCTCAGGATTGTCCTCCCGGAGGCTTTGGGGTCGCCTCCTCCCGCGACTCGCGGGCTGGTGTAGCGCACGCATTTTGGAGACTGCAACCAGGGGTGTTTCAAAACRTCATCTATGCGAAACCTGCGAGTCACATCAGGCTGGAGCAGGTGGGTGATGAGGTTCTTGCAYTCTGCAGAGATGTTTTTTGACTTGAGAAAGGGAATCTTCTGCTGTTTCTGAACCTGGATCATTTCCTTGACATTGGAACTGTCGAATGGCTGCGAAGCGTGGAGCATCGCGTACAGGATAATGCCCAGGCTCCACATGTCCGAAATCCTGGGGTCACAGGGAATGTGCTCGAGCAGCTCAGGGGCTGAGTACGCGAGAGACCCGCAGAAGGTGCTGCTGAGGATGGTTTTTCCRTTTCCATCGCGAGACAAGGATTTTGAGAAGCCAAAGTCTGACAGCTTGAAGTTGAGATCGCTGTCGAGGAGGATGTTGTCACACTTGAGGTCCCTGTGGGCGAAGTCCAAGTCGTGGCAGTGCTTGATGGCAGAAGCCAGCTGCTGGAATTTGGTGCGAGCGATGCTCTCTTCCATGGCACCCTGGGTGGTGAGGTAGTTCAGGAGGCTCCCCTTTTCCCCCAGCTCCATCACGATGTACACTTTCCCAGAGGATGTCTCAAAAATCTCGTATGTCTCAATGATTGAGGGGTGGTGCAGGCGTATCAAAGCATCCATTTCCCTGGGGAGAAATTTTTTCAGAACRTTCTGAGAAATTTTCTTCTTGTCAATGATCTTGATGGCCACTCTGCATTTCAGGCGGTGGCTGTAGGCAGCTTTCACTTTGCCGTAGGAGCCTTCTCCAAGAGTATCCCCGAGGCTGTAGCCCTTCTTTTTAAGCACCACAGCATCCATCCTGGGAGAGCTGCAGGGATCTGCCCCAGCGGGAGCTGCTGCGCATCCTGTGCTGCTGGACTGTGCCCCACGCCTGATGGTGGCTGCCAGGGGCACTGCTGTGCCGCCTCTCTCGGGGTGTTCTGTGTGATCTCATGCACAGTTGCCCCGGAAGGTTGAAAGGATCTTTCTGTCGTTTCATGGAACCACTCTGTGACATCACGGATGGTGTAACTCAACGTGGAGGTGCTGGCTGCTCTGTGCTGTCACTGACGGCTGCCACTGGGCATGGCAATCAGAAAACTGAGATMATTTCTCAAAGATGTATTTCTTTTTTTAAGATGGTCAGAGTAGGAAGACAGTTTTTATATCTTGGTTTTGTAAAACCATTCTTCAGTTGCACCGTTACTGTACATCATTACTGCAATGTACTGTGTGGTTTTGGTGGATTTGAGGAAAACAGCAAAAAMCACCTGAGGACTGAGACTTTGTGGAGCAGTGCATTCAAAATCCCTTTTTTTTTTTTTGGTGGTGTGATCAATCCTGATTTGGTAATGAGCGCTTTTTGCCGAGTTTGATTGCAATAACAGGCRGCTCACCTGAGTCTTCCAGGCAGTACCAAGAAGTCCCACCAGTTCAGTGTTTTATGTCAGTATTGTTATGAGCATTTTAGCAGTCTGTTCCTATATATGTTCCTAAAATARTTCTGTGGAAATTCAGAATCATCACTGCAGATAATCTCTCTGTACATGCTGCTTTCTTTTCTTGCTTTAACACTTAATGCTAGCAAACTTCCTGAAAAATTGTAGAAAAAAGTTAATTTTTATCAGTCACGATACCATTGCAGAGTACAGCCACATAAGCAGATTAAAGAGCTGGAAATCATAGAAAGCGGCAATTGCTTGCAGTAATAATAATTTTGTAGTTGTATTCTTTGATATAAAGTAAAACACTTGGAGTTGCTTTCAAATTGATGGCATTGCTTTAAACTGAAGATTGTATTCATGAGCCTCTATAAATGTGAACAAACAGGAAAGTTTAACTGTAAATTTGGAATGATAGTATTCCTCAAGGGATTAAACCTTTTATTTTTCCATGCTAAGTGGTGCCTGTTCCTCTTGCATCAAGTCTTTTGTTCTGAGTTTAAGGAGGATTTGCAGCGGATATTTAGCACATGCTGCTCTGCATATTTTTGTATTAGTCTTTCAACAGCCATATGGGAGGGAAAATACCTTCATTTTTGGGGAGGGGTAAAGGGCGACTCYCTGATGTTATTCCAGAGTAAATGGTCTTAAGGGGGTGGACACTTATGATAATTTCAAATTATAGATGTAACTAATCAGCATCATGCCTTTGTCCTGAAGGTGCAGCCAATATCTGACCAGTGAGAGRGAAGGCATAAATCATCGTGATGACWTTGGAAAGAACAAAGGAGAAGCAAAGTCTTTAAAATACATGCAAGRATGCATAAAGATTTACAGGGGGCTATTACGTGTGGCTGTTTCCAGGACATTAATTTAATTGGTTCTTTTCAGGTGTGAATAAAAATGTGGCCTTGTATTAAATGTTGGATAGCCTCGTATCACCTACTCATGCTTAAAATCACTCCAGCTTCCAGGGASGATGGCTGATCTTCATGTCAGCCTGTTAATTCTTTGGGAACTCTGTCTTGCACATCTAGGCAGTTCTATATTTGTGAAAGGTACCCAACATGCATCCTGCACACTCTGCTTGTTTTTTTTGTGTATCTTCTCACAGTCATGCTTTAAAAATGGATATGAAGGGATGTGGAAAAATATTAATTTTGGTGWAATAGTTAAGCAGTGATTTCCACCAAAGGTGTGTCGTAGTATTAACAGAGTACTGCTGCCTTTTTTTCTTCTCACAATAATTTAAGGGCATGATCATATTATTATGAAAATGTTCATATTTTTCCTGTTGATATAAATTAAAATAAAAATGAGTATCAAATCCAAGTGTACCAACTTGTGCATATTTTTTTTGAGTAATTGCCTGCTGGTGTTGTCACAGGCAATGGATCTGGGGAGTGATGGGTATTTGTCCCTGCTCTGTTAGATCAGTCATAATGCCACCATGGAACCAATGGATTAAGAAAGAGGCTCTATATTCAGCAAAGCAGTTAATTCCTCCAATGTTAAATGTGGTTAAACTTAATCAAAATCTAAGTGAGAAGTAAGATCTATTATCAGWGAAATAAGTTTTTGTCTCTGTTGGTGTTAATGGAAGATTTTCTTTAGCTAAAGCAGCTTATTGGTGCTTAATTAGAATTTTGAATAATACTTAGAATCATCAATATTAACAAATTTACCAAAATTATACAGAGTTTTTTTTCTGGTGCCCATCTGTGTCAGTTGCAAATGTAATAGACTCAGGGCTTTAATGATGCAAATTAAATTTTCCAGTGAGAGAAATGCCAATATAGGCTGAGAATTAATTCCGAATCCAAAGGGGCAAGAGCAAACTATTAATTCATTAAGTCTGGCAGAAGCAATTCAGTCATTTCCTCTTTAGTTACTTTAGTCATATTTGGTCTTAAATAACAAAGGAAACCAACCCTTCCTGTACATGTGCACATGGAGTTGCTGGACTCTCATCTCTCAGACTGACCTTGTTGTGTGTTGTTTTCTTTATTCTTCTGCCTTTATTCTGCTGTCACCACCTTTCACAGCCCTCTTAGGTCAGGTGATGGAGAGAGAGTCCTGAAATCCTCACTGCATCCGTGGGGGCCCACAGTACAAACAGCAACTCAAAAATCAGGTGTTTCCCTCTGGATCAGGGGTGAGCAAAACTGGAGCAGCATGGCATGCTGATAGTGGGGAGGGTAGCCAGGAGGTAGGAACTTTTTAAGCCCTGGATGRGTATTTCCTTGCATGCTAAATCTTCTGGCAAACAATTTTTTTATAGTTTTGCAGCACTATTTTATAGAAATGGAATACCTGGAGTATAYTGTTTTCTGGAATAGAATTCATGAGGGAAGGTAAGGGTCCAAAGCTGCTGGGAGGACCATACTTCCACACTGCCCTAAGTCCATTTCATAAAGTAAAGCTGCTATTTTTTTGTTGTTGTTTGTTTGTATAAGAAAACTACCTTTGAAGTTTGTTGATTATGCAGATAATGCATTTTTGAAATAATATTTGTGCTGGTTTTGGCTGGGGTAGAATAATATTCCTCATGGTAGCTGGTACGAGCCTCTGTTTTGTATTTCTTCGATAATTCAGAGCTGTTTTTGGTATCCTGAGCAGTTCTTACCCAGAGCCAAGGCCTTTCCTGCTCCTCAGCCAGAGGCTGTGAGGGGACACAGCCAGGACAGCTGACCCCAGTGACCCAGGGGATATCCCAGCCCATATGGCATCACGCTCAGTGTACAAAGCTGGGGAGGAGGAGGAAGGGGGTACAATTGGAGAGATGGGGTTTGTGTCCCCCTGTCACTGTTACAGGTGATGGAGCCCAGCTGTCCTGGGAATGGCTGAGCTACTCCCTGCCCTGGGACTGGGGAATGAATCCCTTGGCTGTGCTTGGCTCGTGCACGTGGCTTTTGCTTTACCTGTTAAACTGCCTTTATCCAACCCACTCAATTTTCTGACTTTTATTCACTCTCCAACACCCTGGGGTAAAGTGAGTGAGAGTTTTTGTGGGGCTCAGTTGCCATCTGGGGTTTAACCATAGGAGTGTTTAAAGCATTTTCCAGCCTTACCAGAATTAGGTATTGATTTTTAGTATTTATGATTTCTTTTCACAGAGATTTCATGACACATTTGTCCTGGTTTTCTAATATGGAAGAATTATCACACAATAAATTTAAAGGATTTTGTAGAGTATTGTCATGGGAAGCACTGTGCTGGCATCAAATTCTGTCTTAGCAATTCGCTGAAATATTTTATCAATGTCTGAAGCAACTCTAAAATATGATTTATTTGTATAAAACATCCCTGGAGATCAAAACTTTGGGTTGACTTTTAATTCCAGCCTTGCACATGTGAGTATTTTGTTTCTTAAGTGCAAGACTTTGTGTGCAAGTCCTAAAGTAGAGTTGCAATGTGAGGTCTGTGCTTCTCTTCTGTGGTTTTCTGCTCTCCTCTGTATTTCTGCATTGTAGGGGAGCTGGAATTGCTGATATTCATGTGAAAATGTTCACATCCYGGTGATGACAACTCTGCCAAAGCCATCCATCATATTTTGGCTGAATCTGGCAAGAATGGGAAAATTGAAAARCAAATTGTTAACCTTAGTGAGGGGAACCCTTTTATTGGGGACCCAAAAGTAAGAATTAGGGATGAGTTGAATCCTTAATTTTCCATGTCCCTCTGCACTGTGGGGCCTTGGAGGTTGTGGATGTCTTTTCTCTGCATTGACCAGAGTTCATATCCTAAGATCTATCAAAATAGTTCTCTACAGTAATTATCAGTTCAGTGAATTAAGAACTTCAAAAAAAAAGCAAAAACAAAAAAAAAAGAAGAATTTTTCCAAGAAATTATTACAGAAACATATTTGTGGTTTAGGTTAGTCACTTATGAGTGTAAGAATGATAGAAAAGTCCTTTTTTTAAAATTTCCTTAATATTTTTCTTAYGAATGCAGTACTTTGCATAAGTACATGCTGTGAATATCCTGTGTGAAAATRCAAGGTTTCACAAGAATGTTGCATAAAACCAAAATGAGAACAGACTGTTTCTGTGAAATAGTCACAGGTACTGACCACTGCTTGGGGAGCATGTTCTTCAAAAGATGTTGTAGCTATTTTTAGCCATTTAAATTGAAAATAAACAATTCCATTGAAAATAAATCCCATGTGCTGGATGAAGTGCCTGGCTGCTGGTGTGGTAATTCTTTTAGGTTTATATTCTGTACAGAATTTGAGAAATCCTGCCTCACCTGTCATGAAATCCTTTTGTGCAAGAGTCAATCTACGTGAGCAGATAAACAGATGGTGTAACTGAGAGCACACAGAATGCTAGCTTAGGTAAAATGCAYGCTGCTGATAACCCACTAAGCCTTCCTGGG